CACTAACAACAACAACAACAACAACAACAACAACAGACAACAACAACAACGACAACAACAACAACAACAACAATAATGGTTATTTATGCTATATCATATGTTGTGCGGTTTCAAAACTCATCTTAGGAATATGAGAAGTGATGTGACGAGTCATTGAGTAATTGATACATGATTTGAGCATTCTTTGAACATTTTGAATATTTCAAGCCTACATTTAATACAATTATCATTAGAATCTTAATTGTGCCTTGAAGAAACGGTATTCTTTCTTTTAACCATATTATGGGTAAAATAAAGATGAATGATTTCTTAAAAAAATATCCAGTGGAGTGTTGTTGAAAATTTGTCACGTTCTTCTTCTTCTTAAAGAAAAAGAACAAAGGTTAATATTTTTTCAAGAAATCATCCACGTTATGATAATCATAATTGGATAAAGTGGTAGAGAATGGCTGCCAGGGGAAAAATATGATAAACAAACGGCGGCGTTTGTGTATTAAACGGACAGAAAAATAAAGGAAAAAGAAAGCTTGATGGTCGCACCACTCTTATATATATTTAAAATAGGGGCCTTATGATATAGGTCCCTAGTGACAAAAAATATTCGATTCTTATACGTTACTAGCTAGTGACAAAAAATATTAGAACTAAATGTCAAGCTCAATTAAACATTTGCTTCACATTCTTTATAAAATTCATTCAAAAAATAGCCATCCATTAGCAAATTCAAAATATATATTAGGGACTATTAGTGAGAACCCCCTCTAACATTATTTTAATAAGGATGGGTCCAGCTCATTTTCCTTTATTAGTGATAAACCCATTTTTTTTGTATTCTCAAATTTACCCTCTCACTATTCACTACTCATTATCCACTAGTTTGATATATTTTTTTATTTTTTATATTTTAAATTTAATTTTCGTTTTTTTTATTTATTTCTTCTTTATAAAATAATATTTTTTTTTTTAAAAAAATTATATTTTTTTTAATATTTTTCTTTAAATATTCCTTTTCTATATTATTTTAGTTTTCAGTTAAAACAACTATATGCCAATAAAACGACTATTATTAAAACGACTACTATAAAACGACTATTATTAAAACAATTGGTATTAAAACAATGATACATCAGTTTCACAATTTATTAAATTAATTATATATTATATTATTTCCATTGTAAGATTAACTAATTATTTAATTAAAACATCTCCAAAACAACTATTTGTTAAATGAACTATTTATTCAAACAAACTAAAAAGTAATGAAAACAATAATATTGTTGTGCAAAAACAACTATATTGCTATACGAAAACAACTATATTGAATCAACTGCAAATTATTGAAATCCACAAAAGCAAAAGCAAAAGCAAAAACACACACCAAAATTCCAACAAAAACGACTATTATTGAAACCAACTACAATCGTAACGAAAACAACTATATCCTTTTGAGTAACACGAACATAATTTCAACAAACCAGCCTCCCAAACAATACCTCCTCCTCGAGGTCAATCTATTCCATTACAGCGGTGGTGGAGGGGGTCTTCCGACGAGGATTCCAGGATGCTTCCAAAAATCGAAAGAATAAAAAAAATAAAAAAATACCAACAGATTGAAAGAGCTAGCATTAGATCCGCAAAATAAGGAGTGGAGAGAGAAGAAGAGCCGCCGACTTCACAATTTAATTGAAATCTCTTCGAATCCCTAATTTCTTCAACCAAATGGGCCAAAAGCGAGACTCTTCTCGCCGTGTCCGTACAATCTTTCTTAAAGAAGCCCGAGAACCTGGATCCGGAGATCCGAACGACGTCGGAGATGAGGCGGAGGGCCGAGCCGGTGGCGCCTTCGCCGGCCATTTGAACGGAGCGGAAAGGAGTTTTCTGTGTGCGCGTACCTTACAACCACAATGCGTCCGCCATTGTTGTAGTGATTTAGAGGATTTGATGTTATACAGTTGGCAAGGTTTCTTTATTTATAATAATTATTATTATAATTAGGATTATTAATTTAATCTCAAAGATTTTCTTCAAATCACGTGTTTAAAGTAAATTAATTACACAAGGGTGAATATGTAAATGTCAATTATGAAATTATTCATAAAAATTCGAATCTAATACATGAGGGGGGTTTCACTAATTATGAAAAGGGGGTTAAACCCACCCTAATATATGTAAATGATGTGGGGGTTTTTCACTAATTATCCCTATATATTAAGTAAAGTTTAAACTGCATTTATCATTTTATTTATTATGCATTTAATATTTCCTATCTTCATTTAACATTTTTTTTTTAATTTTGTTTACATGTACCTGTTCATCTTCCTTTTTTTTTCATTATTCGTTTTAGCATTTTATACAGTACTATAAAAACTTCTTTCTTTTTTGTTTCAATTCTTCATAATATTGAAAATTACAAAAAAAGAAAAGAAAAAAAAACAGTTATATTTTTTAATTTTTTTTTTTCAATTTACATATTTTCGTTTTGTTTGTAGTAGACTATGGTATACTACATTGTACTATATATAGCATACTACGGTGTACCTATACTACAGTGTACTACGGTGTACTATGTTTTACTACCAAACTCTAGCCGTCAATAACTCCCAGCAGTCGCGAACCCTAACAGTCAACGCAAACCCTAACAGCCAACGCTTACAGCCGCCGCGACCGTTGTCACCTACCAACATTGAGAAAACCTAGATCTGTCGTTAAAACCCAAACTAAGCAAATTCTCTTAAAAGATAAGAAAATCAGATGCAATCAATTATTCAAAATATGCTTTCAATAACACTCCAACCATAACCACAGCCCCCGCCGCACAAGTCACAACCCCATGTCGTCGCCACCATAGCCGTCGCCACCTACCATAACCACCGTCATAGCCTCCATAATTATTTCCCTATAATTGGATTTAATCATTTATTAAATATAAATCTGTTAAAAGAAAAAGGAAAAAAAAAGAGTGGGGCTTGGGGACGACATATGAGAGAGAGAGTTGGATTTAATTATTTATTAAATATAAATCTGTTAAAAGAAAAAGAAAAAAAAAACAGACGGGGGCTTGGGGACGACATAAGAGGGGGAAGTGAAAGGAGAGGGAGTGCTCAACGGCGTGAGAGTGGGGAAGAGAGAGAGAGGGGCTTTTAGTAGGTATTGTAAGCGTAGTTTTGGGTTAAATAAAAAATAAAAGATGTGTGTTAATTTTTATTTTAAAATAGGGATGTAGTTAAAATGTTCTATTTGAGTTTATCACTCATTTCTAATTAGATTTGGTTTGAGGGATGTGAGGCCTTTTGCTTTGAATGAAAAAGCAAGATTGACTGATTAGTCACCTCTAATTTGTAGTTAGGTTTTTAATACATTGGCCCGCGATTGATTAAAGGCCCGGTATCTTATCCTTCCATTTCCTTGAATTCCAAGATTACCTAATCACACCTCTCCACTTGAGATTACGTTGTCCAGCCCCTCTTCCTGGATTCACATTGTATTACGCTTCCGAAATTGTCCTCGGTAAATCAGTCGAATTACAGAGAAAAGAGAGTATAAGTATACTTTCTCTCTCCCCACACCAAATTCTTACCCTAATCTTTGAAGAATGGTGAGCTCATGGGATTTCCCCTCGTCGAAAACCCAGGTGCAAATTCAAATTTTCCCGCAACCTTTCTTCCATCTCCTCTTTAATGGTCTGCTCTTACTTCTTGGTTGTTGTAAATCGTCGTAATTTAAGAGGTGGTCTTGCTCAGTCGGTCGTTGAAGCTTGGCAATTTTAGGTTGGTTAATTACTCTCAAGCCCTAGTCGTCGATTCTTGCTCCGTTTAGGAGGTAAATGTCTTTTGTAGCACGTTTAGTGATCGGGTTAGCTATGATTGTTGCTTTCTTTCCCTGCGAAAAGGCCCGATCTAAGCAGTGGTCGGACCTAGCAAGTATTATTTGTCGTTGATTTTTACTTTTTAGAGTGTGGTTGAATTGGTGTTTTAGTAAGTATTATTTGTCGTTTCTAATTTTTTTGGAAATCCTGATACGATTGTGGCGATTGCGAGAATGACGGTGGAGGATTCGAGGAAGTTATTGTCGCCTGAGTTTTATCCATCTTTGATAGTGTTCTCGCAGCACCAAAAGGTTTGCTGTTTATTTTGTTTAGATAAATGTTTTATTTTATCAATTCGTATATATATACATATGGATTTCCGAGGCTAATATTGTTTTATTTTTGTGCTTTATCTTGGCTTAATCTTCAGCTGGAAAAGATCTGACCATATGGCAATGAGTTGTTAAGTTTTGTGGTTTTCTATTTATGATTTACGATTTATGATTTATGATTTATGATTATGATGTTTCTCGAGTATTAGTTATGTTTTCGCTTATCTTTTTCTTATCAACATTATTCAGTTATTCTGCTCGTTTTTCCTGCCTGGAGTTGTATGCTGCTGTCCACGCTCATAGAGAGAGATAGAACTTAATAACAAAGAGACATAACTTGGAGAAGATAATTTCATGTATTCAAATGTTGTCCTAAAAAATAATACCAAACTTGTCGGTAGCATCAATCTTATGTCAGATATGCTTACTGAATGGTGATGTGTGCACTAATTATTATTTAATGCCTCAGGTATTTCTATTGTTGAAGATGGAACCAAAGGAATCGTCATGGAGATGGGACCCAAACACAATACTTGATATTAAAACTTATTTTAGTGTTGCTCTTCCTGTGCAGGTAAGGAAGAGATTTCTTCTCATGAAAATTAGAAACTTAAGAATATTGCTTATAGTCCAATATCTAACCAAATGATAACTTTTAAAATTTATGGTTTAAAATAAACCCTACACAATATCTCTTATCTTTCACACTCCTTTGATTGATTTCTTCGTAATGAGCTTATGTTAACCTCCGAGCTTCTGAATGAGAGCTACAAAATCACCAATATGTGGCTCTTTACCTTGGAAATTCCGAGTTCCGACTATGTTTTAGTCAGCACTATGAGAATTTAAATTTTCTCTCTTATTTGTCCTTCTCAATATTTTAAAGTTGGAGTATGGATGTTTTAAATTATAGCTGGAACCTAAGTTTTGGAATATCTTCAAAATTTGATCCTTGACATTCAGATACTCTATGACGTTTCAGTTGTCATTTATAATTTATTTCATTCATTTGTTTATCTCAGCAGAAGCATCGAAGATCTTATATCCATTTTCAAATTGTCAGCCTTACTGTAGTGATGATCGAGTATTTTTGAAGATCACATCATTCAGATACTTTTTTTAGTTCAATGTTTAAACTGGAGTGATGAGTATTTGTTGAATACTTTGAATTATAGATCTTGACACTCCAAGCATTATACTGTATATAAGAATTGGAGATAGTTCTCAAACTTATTATGAAGTAATTTGTTTTATACATTCCACCAGTCAATGGGTATATATTCCCTCATTTGCCCAATGAATGAAAAGTATGGTATTTACTATTTTATATCAGCAGCATTTTACTTTTTAGCATACAACAAGTGTATGTAATTGATTATTACATTAATACGACCATATATTACAGTATGGCATAGTCTCTAGAATGCATTCATTAATCACAAGTTGCCAGCCATTATAGTATTATGTATATTACAATATTCTTATTTACTGTTGTTATTACCTGTGAAAAAATATAATCTTTTGAGCGAATATGATTGAACTGAGAAATGCATGTAATACTTGACACGACGATGATTATAATACAAACGGTAATAAAATATTACAACAACAATGAAAGATGCAATCTAATTAACCAATCTAGAGCATACATAGAATTACAGTCATGGCAAATAAGAATGAAGTGAAAAATGCCATAATTTTCCACTTCTTAATTCGACGAGCTTGAGCTTCCACTAATGTTTCCAACCCGCTGATTATTTTCAATAAATCGGGAATTATTAGTTTGGATCATTCACATGCCTCCGCATCGCACCAGTAGAAAAATTTACATTTCATATTGTTGTAAAAATATGACATTCGTGTTAACGAAAAAAATAGGTGTTACATATTTCAGTACAAGCTTGCAACAACAAAACCGATACTCACCCCTTTTATCAGACACGTAACAAAACGTCGCCCCGGATTTAGCAGCGTCCATGAAGTTTGAAACCTCACTTCATAGCGTGACATACAAACGGATGGTTATGACCCTAATCCAAACCACAATAAGTAACATTTCTTACCCGACCACCAAATCCACTCGAGCTACTACTACTCATCGTATCCAAAAACGATTCAATAAATCCTTGTGTATGAAAACCAAATAAATGAAAAAAAAGGATGACTATTGAATAATAATAATAATAATAATAATAATAATAATAATAATAATAATAATAATAATAATAATAATAATAATAATAATAATAATAATAATAATAATAATAATAATAATAATAATAATAATAATAAATAAATAAATAAATAAATAAATACCTACAAAATAATTCAACAAAATGCAGTAAAATGAGCACACATGGACCCCTTTTATACATAGAATGGAGGGCATTTTTGGTTTTTAACAAATTGAAAAAGGTAATTGCATGTAGAGAGTGTAAATAGTCTTTTAAACCTAACAAGAGTTATGTAGGGACTAATTGATAGTCCAGTTACTTAGTCATGGAAACATAAGATGACTTTGATACTTTTCGAACTTATCCAAATAGTGCAATCATGGCTAATCAGTAGGGGGTGAATTTATCCCATCTTGGAAAGCAAAAGGGCCCTTAAAATATATGTGTGTTACATATTGATAAACTTGAAGAGATATTATTCCCTAAAAAACAAAACATCGGAATTGAATCATTTGGCACATTGTACATCATTTTGGCTTATATTATATGTATATTGTATTTAATTTCTCACATGCATGCATGTAGAATTTATATTAAAGAAAAACTATATAGATAAAGTAGTTCCTAGTTTCAAAGTTTGTATCATCAGCAAGGGGAACAAAAAATTATGGAACCGGTGGTGGTTTCACGATACCGCCCACAATTTTAGAGGGCAGTTAGATGCTATATTCTATTCACCTGATTATTTATATGTAGGCTTGGCATTGGGTTGATGTTTCATCACTAATGGACTCATATTTTTAGATGGCTAATAATTTTTTAACCGATTGGGTCAAAAACTTCTACCAATCTATCTATAATAATTCGGCTGGTGATTTTTAATATTATCACAAGTTGATTGACAATCGTCGATCAACCAACTAGATCTATTATTAAAATTTGCGCTACTATACTATGATCATTGTCGCATTTACCCCATAAACTATGAAATGCGACAAAATGACCCTCGCTGTTAGCATTTGTTAGTCTTTCAGTCCAACATGGATGATGTGACACTTTGAACAAATTTTTTGATATTTTGTTACAATTTTACCCTTTCATTAGAATATAAGAAAAAAACAAGTAAATCAAATAAGTTCTATTATTCAAAAAAAAAAGGGCAAAATAATTAAAGGAAAATAAAAGTACTTTATTAGAAATTTCAAGAAAATATTAAATTAATAAAAATTTAATTTTTTATTTGGAAATTTAAAATCATTTATTTCATCCTCATTTTTTTTTCACCTAAACTTATATTTTTCAACGAAAAATTCCATAATTTATTATATTTAAACTTTTTGAAAATGAAAAGAAGAAAGGACAAAAAATGGATATAATTTCTCACCCTCGTATCATGTCTCCAAAAAATGGCATGAAAATGTCTTTTCCTATATTATTAAGCAAGGGTAAAAATGTAATTACACTTTACAAACTACAGTTAAACCTCTATAAATTAATACTATTGGGACCATCAAAATTTCATTAATTTAGCGAAATATTAACTTATCGATAAATTAATAATTATTAATTTATACATTAATTAATAAATTATTAATTTATGAAATTACTTTTATTATTATTATTATTTTTTTTTTTTGAGTAAATTCAAGTCCATTACAAGGGGAAGTAGGGGAGGGGGGGACTCGAACCCTAGACCGTTACCCTATTGGTAAAGGCTAGGTACCAACTCTCCTAATGAGGGTTGGTTTATTATTATTTTCAATAAATACATTTTTTTTTTAATTTTTTTAAGTGTACATTATTCATTGTACCATTAGTTCAATGCATTATAAAGCCCGTTTCACGAACGGAAGCTCTTAAATGAGCAATGGTATAGAACGATTTTATGTTGAGTTATGACAAAATTATACCGAAAGTTTTAACCATGTCAAGAAAAGTGAGGGACGGGATTGATAGTAATGTGAACTTCAACAAAAAAAAAAGCAACAATTAAATTATATTGTATTAAACTTTCATAGATCTATAAAATATGTACTATACCATGTAATTTAAGAATTATTTTTATGCATTATTATATGGGGCTTCTTAAATTTTTCGAATGTGTATTATCTTATAAATTTAGCGAATTATTAATTTACCACGTTGTTCCCGAGTCGGGACCGGAAAATTTTATTATTTAAGCGAGATTATTAATTTATCGGGTATTAATTTATCGAGGTTCTACTGTAATGGTCTCAAAATTCTGATCGTTGACAGGTGACATGAGGGGCCATTTTATCGCATTTCGTAGTTCAGGGGAATAAATGCGACAGTGGCCATAATAAATGGTGCAAATTTAACCCTAAGAATTTATTATATCACCTGTTTAAAATAAATTTAGCCAAATTAAAATACGTGTCGCTATTGACTGGGAGAAGGTGATGGTGGACTGCTTCAGCAGCATGGACGATGAGCATGGACGATGAGCTTGATCGGGATGAGGCGGCGGCGGCGTACAAGAATATGGCGGTGGTTCTTGTCGGAGAGGAGGAGATTGTGGTGGCCCACTGTGGGGATTCCAGGGTGGTGCTTTCCCGTGGTGGTGTGGCAGTCCCCATTTCAATCGATCACAAGGTCACACGTGTGTTTATTAGGTTTCTTTCCACCCTACTGCCGGTGATAAACGGATCTTCTGCTGCCGCATCTTTTTTTCTTTCTAAAACCCTAACCCAAATGGGAGAATATATTATAAAATATAAAAAATATCTACGTGGCAATAGAAGATATCCAGTATTTATCATTGGGTGTAGGATCGAAGGAGTCGTAGTGTGGTATATCACTAAAGATCCCAATTTTATTTATTTTTATTTATTTAATAATTTAATGACGTCAGCCTGATAGAGAAGATGAAAAAGAGAGGATAGAAGCTGCAGGAGGACAAGTCATAAATTATAACGGCTGGAGGGTCCAAGGTGTGCTTGCCACTTCAAGATCCTTTGGTAAAACAATTAATTCCTTAATTCTCACTAACCTCGTTTTATTTCGAACTAATTAATGATCAAGAATTCAAAACTAGGTATACTGTTTATTTTTATGCTACACCCGATGAAGAATACATTGAGTGAATTTTTAACATTAATCTACACAAACATATGGGTGTGGGTTTGTGCGTATATGAATAGTAAAGATTATACGCGATGTATGTAGCATACAATAAACCAGGTGTACTAATGATAATTAGCATTTTTCAATACATAACAAAATAATATCATACAAAAACAAAAAAAAAAAAGTTTGACTTTCATCTCATAATTAATTCCCTTTTAATTTATGATCGATTAAAATAGCTGATTTAGATAACCAATTGCTCTATGGTGGAGGCTCACTACTCACTGGTGGCCGGGTCGAGCCATACTGGAACGCCATTAGTAGCGTCTGAGTTCCTACGTATATTTATTATTTCAATTTTCAGTGTATTATTAATATCATTAATTACACATTTGTTTATTCGAGTTAATATATGTATAAAATTGTGGTGCATGGTAAACACTGGGCAGGTGATCATTAATTATCTGAAACCGTACGTGACCTCGGTGCCTGAGGTGACTGCGGTGAGGCGATCGGGTTCCGACGAATTTCTAATACTAGCAACCGATGGTTTATTCGATGTTGTTCCTTCTTATCCTTCTCCAATTGTCGTGGGTGAGGCCCGAGTTGGATCGAGTAACTCATTGCTCTGCGGTAGAGGTTTGATAATAAGTCGAGCCATATATAACCGAAGGTTGTGTGTGTCTAATGAATGTACAATACGTGTTCTATCACCACTTTTCTTAAAAAAAAAATTAAAAAAAAAAAAAAAGAAAAAGAAAACCACCGATGATAGCGTGTGGTTGGTTACCTGCATTTCTAATTTTAGTTTTGGTACAAAATTGATGATTAACATAGGAACCATAAATTTATAGAAATGGAAGTGCTAACTAAAAAAAAAGTTACACCTACACACTTCTGAGGTAGGGGTGGTAAACGAGTCAAGCCGACTCGTAAGCTTGATGAACCGAGCTCGAAAACAACTCGAACTCGAATTCGATTTTTTCGAGCTCGAGCTTTCTAACGAGTCGAACTCGAGCCAATTTTTAGTTGTTCGTGGCTCACGAGCCAGCTCGCGAACCTTATT